AGTCTCCTGGGAGGGGTTTAATACATTTGAAACATAAAACGTGAGCGAAAGGCCCAGTAGGATGTTATTTACAAAGACGTAAAGTAAATAAATAGATAAAGTACAAGTAAATAAATAAATGGGTACGTAAATAAATAGACATTTAGTTCCAACAAACAGCCGGAACCTCACATCCTTTTTCTCAAAGGAAATAAATGTAAAATCTCCATATTACAGGCTTCAGCAAGTAATTAGTACAAATTACTTACCTAACCAAGTGCCTCGCCTACCCGGACCGAGTTTCGGATTCTGCCCCCGAGGATGCACTCTCCGCATCCTATCTAGGCTTACAGTAATAGACTCTATTACCAGTTCACAAGATCTATTTATTAAGAAATCATTCATTAACATTTTGAAATCGTTAATACGACCCCACGAACTACTCAAGCCGCGGGCCACATGACTAGACAAGCCATGAGGTTCCATGACTAAACAAGTCATGGTTTTCAAAACATTTTCTTTCACAAACCAATCCCTTTCTTTAAAATATTTTCAAGGCCAAAATCTTTTTTGAAAATTGGCTCACAAGGAAAAGGGATAGAAATCCTACCTCGCACTTTCAAACCTGGGACTAGTGTTGCCTTTTTCGGCTTCTGCTTCCTCAAGCCCCTTTAGTCTGAATCCTCAGCGATCACTGATGCAAGACAACACTTTAGGATCAATTCTCATTCCTAAAGCAATCCAAATCTCATTTATGTACTAAGATTTTCAATTAGTGTGCCCTAATCCATTTTCATGTTTCAAAATATCATTCCAAGGGTTTTCAATCTCAAATCAAGGATTAACAATGCTAATCCATTTATCTCAAGTCCCTAAATGAAACTAATTTGGGTTCTCCTCGAAAACATGGGGCCAATCAGGGTCAAACCCCATGTCAACCGGTCGACCGGTGACAGAGCAGTGCAACACTACCGGTCGACCGGTAGTGTGCACACCAGTCAACCGGACTGGTTGAACGGTCAGCCTACAATCCGGTCGACCGCATAGGCCGACCGGTTTCCATGAAATCTGGTCGACCGCACAGGTCGACCGGTGGAATTAGCTGCGCGAGAGAAGCTCACAGAAATCAGTCCAAAACCTACAAATCCAGTCCCAAATCGAGATATTTCAAAGGAAAACCACTACATCTGGGTTCTAGGTCCTAAAATAAGTCCAAAGAACCCAAGATCTCCAATTTCTACCCTAGTTTTACTCAAAAACCATCAAAATCTAGTTTGAACCAAAAATAAGTTTTGAAATTCAAAAACTTGAGATTCAAGAGAGGTTCTTTCAGTAATCTTACCTTGAATCCTCCTCTCGACATTAAAAACTTCTTTAAATCTTTTCTTGGTTCAAGATCCGTTTGATTTGGGACAAAGATGAGAGAGAGAGAGAGAGAGATGCACGAGATAGTGAGAGGGAGAGATGCACGGGAAGGAAAAAGGAAAGAAAGAAAAGAAAAGAAAAGGAAAAGAAAAAAAAAGACATGTGTACAATATTTTAAAAGAGCAGTCCAGAAATGCGCCCATACACACTTTTGGGTTTAAATAAATAGCTGAGAATAATTTAAATACCTTAGAACTATTTAAACTCACACGTGTCAGAAACATTTATTAATTTATACTCAATTAATAATCCAGATTAGGCACACTAATAATCTTAATTACCTTAATTAATCTCAATTAATTCTTCAGGGTGTTACAGTTTCTCTCGCGCAACTGATTCCACCAGTCGACCTGTCCGGTCGACCGGATCACATGGAAACCGGTTGACCTATGCGGTCGACCAGATTGTAGGCTGACCGGTCGACCGGTGTGCACACTACTGGTCGACCGGTAGTGTTGCACTGCTTTGTCACCGGTCAACCGATTGACACGGGTTTGACCCTGTTTGGCCTGAAAATGCTGTTTTGACCCTTGTTTTCAGGGAGAACCCAAATTAGCTTCATTTGGAGGCTTGAGATGAATGGATTAACATCTTTAATCCTAGATTTGACATTGAAAACTCTTGAAATGATAATTTGAAACATGAAAATGGATTAGGGCACACTAATTGAGAATCTTGGAGCATAATTGAGATTTGGATTGCTTTAGGAATGAGAATTGATCCTAAAGTATTGTCTTGCTTCAGTGATCACTGAGGATTCAGACTGAAGGGGCTTGAGGAAGCGGAAGCCGGAAAAGGCAACGCTAGTCCCAGGTTTGTTCGTGCGAGGTAGGATTTCTATCCCTTTTCCTTGTGAGCCTGTTTTCAAAACGATTTTGGCCTTGGAAACGTTTAAAAAGAAAGGGGTTGGTTTGCGAAAGAAAGACTCTTTGAAAACCATGGCTTGTGGAGTTTATGGAATCCATGGCTTGTCCTGTCCATGGAATCCATAGCTTGTCTAGTCATGGAACCTCATGGCTTGCCCAGTCATGGGGCCCGTGGCTTGAGTAGTTCGTGGGGTCATAATAACGATTTCAGAAAGTTAATGAATGATTTCTTAAGCAAAGAGATCTTGTGAACTGGTAAGAGAGTCTATTGCTGTAAGCCTAGATAGGATGCGGATAGTGCGTCCTCGGGGGCTGAACCCGAAACTCGGTCCGGGTAGGCGAGGCACTTGGTTTGGTAAGTAATTTGTACTAATTACCTGCTGAAGCCTGTAATATGGAGATTTTACATTTATTTCCTTTGAGAAAAAGGATGTGAGGTTCCGACTGTCTGTTGGAACTGAATGTCTATTTATTTACGTACCTATTTATTTATTTACTTGCACTTTATCTATTTATTTACTTTACGTCTTTGTAAATAACATCCTACTGGGCCTTTCGCTCACGTTTTATGTTTTAAATGTATTAAACCCCTCCCAGGAGATTCTAGGAGCGGTGCACAGTAGCTGGATAATTGCTACAGAGCAGCTGAGTTGTGCTGCTGTTGGAATTAAGTGAGGATCGTGGACATCCTCTTGGACAAATGTAAGGAATTTGAGAAATTCTGTAAACTTATGTAATATTTGTGTTAACTAGACTGTGGTTGATGTCTGTTGTAATGATTACTTACATGTTCATGTATGTACGATACTGTATGTCCTGTGGGTGGAGCCCTGTGTGTTGTCAGAGGCTCGCGATTCTGTAGTTTAATTTATATTTTAATTTAGTTAAGTGGGGCTCGTCTGGGAATCTGCTTTATTAATCCATAATCGAGCTCCACGTCACCCACCCCGTTTGGGGGGTGTGATAAGAAGTGGTATTAGAGCCCTAGGTTAAGAAACCCCGGGATTGTACATACATGTGTGGCATCTGTTATCCACTGAACAGTCTAGTTTTATTTCATTTAAAGGAAATGACGCCTCACCGTAGGCCCGCTAATCAACCGGCACAACAGAATAAGGGATTTCTAGATGCCATGTATGCTGCCTTTCAAGGCATGGCCACAAGAGCTCAAAACGAGCGGTTGGTTGAGGATAGGAAGCAAGGGTACTTCCAGGAATTTAGGCGTGCGCCTATCCCCTCGTTTAATAGTGAGGGAGGACCCCAGGAAGCAGAATTCTGGTTAGACTCCATAGTCAAACATTTGAGTACTATGGGAGTTCCATATGAATACTGGGTGGAATTTGCGGTATACAAGATGGGTGGCTTAGTAAATACCTGGTGGAAACAGGTCAGAAGAAGAATAGATGTTGCAGGACTGACCTGGGAGCAGTTTGAGACACTGTTCAATGAGCAGTACTTCCCTCAGAGTTATAGGGATGAAAAGGCGTTGGAATTCATGTCTCTACAGCAAGGTGACATGTTTGTAAGGGAGTATGAGGCCAAGTTTAATGACCTGTCCCGGTTCGCGCCATCTTTGGTGGAATCTGAACACCTTAGATGTCTTAAGTTTGAGAAGGGCCTCCAGAACTCTGTGAGGAGACCATTGGTGGCTTTGAGAATCCAGAATTTTCGAGATTTGGTGGCTGCTGCTACTAGGGTGGAGCAGGATAACATAACTTATCACCAGAGTAAATAACAAGCGGGAAGAGTTTCAGTTACTGGGGGACCATCTGTTTCCGACGGGCCACAGCGGAGTGGTAGAAGGAACCGCAACCAGGGACAGCCTGGTGGGGGAGTGGTTAGTGGTGGCAGTAGTTCGTCAAGAAGTGACAGAAGTGCTCCATACGGGCCCAGGTGTCACCATTGTGGGCAGGTGGGTCATATTAGGAGGAATTGTCCTAATCGGCCGCCGGCTCAACAAGCCCAAAGTGACACTTCCTACAGTCAAGAAAGGCCACCACAGTATATGCCACCATATCAGCCACAACAGATGCCATACCCTCCTGTGCCGATTTATCAACCACCTCCGTTTACACAATTTTGGCCTCAAGCGCTGAGACCGGTACAACCACCTGCACCACAACAGTATAGGCCTCCGACCCAATGGCCTAATGTTGGTGACAGAGGGAAAGGGAAAGCACAGGGACAAGCTTATGCCCTGGCAGGAGGCAGTTCTAAAAGTCAGACCAGCAATGCGGTGGTTGAGGGTATGATTCTAATATCTCATTCTTTTGCTCACGTGTTGTTTGACACAGGTGCCACACACTCGTTTATATCAAGTTCTTTTGTACGGACTTTGAAACTGAAATATGAGAATTTAGAAGTCCCGATGACTTTGAACTCCCCACTGGGATGTGTGGAGGTAATGAGTGTGCGTAAATCGTGTGAAATCACGATTGGCGGTTAGCGATTGAGAGCAGATTTGATTATCCTTTCGATGAGCCTGTTTGACGTGATACTCAGAATGGATTGGCTGTCAAGGTACGGTGCGATTGTTGATTGCTACCGTAGAAAAGTAACTTTGGTAACGAATTCCGGAACAGTGATTTCTTATCAGGCGGATGTGAACCCCAGTCCTGGGGGAACGACTCTTGAAGTACATCATTGGGGGACGGAGGAACTTGGCATGTTTTTCTTCCCTTCTTGCTCTAGAAGGTGAACCCGAGATAATTGGAGATAGTGCGGGAATCACTGTAGTGGATAAGTTTACATATGTATTTCCTGATGAGCTACCTGGTTTATCGCCAGATCGGGAGATTGAATTCTGTATTGATTTGGTTCTGGGAACGGCACCTATTTCCATTCCTCCATATCGGATGGCTCCGGCGGAGATGAAAGATTAAGAACACAGCTTGAGGAGCTGGTAGAAAAAGGATACATCCGGAATAGTACTTCCCCTTGGGGTGCACCGGTACTATTTGTAAGGAAGCACGATGGATCTCTTCGATTGTGTATTGACTACCGTAAATTGAACAGGGTGACTGTGAAAAACAAATACCCATTGCCGAGGATCAATGAGTTATTCGATCAGTTGGGTGGATTACAGTTTTACTCCAAGATTGACTTGAGATTTGGGTACCATTAGCTGAAAATCAAGGAGGAAGACATTCCGAAGACTGCTTTCAGATCTCGATATGGACACTTCGAGTTTCTTGTAATGCCTTTTGGGTTGACGAATGCCCCGGCCGCATTCATGGATGTAATGAACCGTATTTTCCAGCCATACTTGGATCGGTTCGTGATCGTCTTCATTGACGACATACTGGTGTACTCGAAGACTTGGGAAGAACATGAGCAGCACTTGAGAATTGTTCTTCAGACTCTTCGAGAACACCAGTTGTATGCTAAGAAGGAGAAGTGTGACTTCTGGCTGACAGAAGTGAAGTTCCTTGGGCATGTGATTTCAGGGCAAGGAATCTCTGTCGATCCTTCTAAGATCGAGACTGTTCTACAGTAGGAAAGGCCGAAGAATGTAGCGGAGATTCACAGTTTCCTCATACTTGCAGGGTACTATCGGTGTTTCATGAAAGACTTCTCGAGTATTGTTGCACTGATGACTCGATTTACCAAGAAAGAAGTCAGATTCCAGTGGGACACTGAATGTGAAAATGCTTTTCAGGAATAGAATGTCAGATTGACAAGTGCGCCAGTCTTGACTATTCCTGATAGTGAGGAACCATATGAGGTGTATTCTGACGCCTCGGGAAGTGGGCTTAGCTGTGTCTTAATGCAAGGGGGACGCGTGGTAGCGTACGCATCTCGCCAATTAAGACCACATGAACGGAATTATCCCACTCATGATTTGGAGCTAGCAGCGGTAATATTTGCTCTGAAGATATGGAGATGTTATCTCTATGGAGCAAAGTTTCAGGTCTTTTCTGATCATAAAAGTCTAAAGTACTTGTTTACTCAGAAAGACTCGAATCTCAGATAAAGGAGATAGGTGGAGTATATGGAGGATTATGACTTCACTCTGCAATATCATCCTGGAAAAGCTAATGTGGTGGCTGATGCCCATAGTAGGAAGACGACGGGGACTCTGGCATCATTAGCTTTGGAAGATTGGAAAAGGACTGAAGTGGTGAGTGAGTATGATCTTCAGTTCTACGAAGTTCATAACCAGGCCATGGCGTATAATCTGATCTCTACACTGGATATTGTGCTACAGGTTAAGCAGAATCAATGGCAGGATCCACACCTCCAAGGAATTCTGGATATGGAGAGCAATTCGAGGATTGGAGAATCCGAGAGGATGGAGCCTTGTATTTCCACAACCGCCTTGCTGTTCCTAAGGCGGGTGAGGTAAAGAAGACGATTCTGTAAGAGGCACACAAATCGAGGTATGCTATACATCTGGGAAGTACAAAGATGTACCAGGACCTAAAAATACAATATTAGTGGAGAGGTATGAAAAGAGACGTTCGTGAGTATGTCTTAGAATGTGTGACTTGCCTCCAGATTAAAGCTGAGCATCGGAAGCCAGTGGGAGAGTTGCAACCTCTTCCTGTCCCTGGATGGAAATGGGAGCACATCACTATGGATTTTCTGCTAGGGCTACCGAGAACCGAGCTGAAGCACGATGCCATTTGGGTGGTAATGGATAGGTTGACGAAGTCTGCGCACTTCATACCATTCTGTGCGACGTATTCTCTGAAGATTCTATCAGAACTGTACCTGGAGCACATCGTGAGGCTACACGGAGTGCCGTTGTCTATCACGTCAGATTGTGACATGCGTTTTAATGCAAGGTATTGGAGAAGTTTTCAGGAAGCCATGGGAACAGACTTGAATTTCAGTACAGCATTCCATCCTCAGACTGATGGGCAATCTGAAAGGGTAATTCAGATTCTGGAGGATATGCTTCGTGCTTGTATTCTGGAATTTGGTGGAAACTGGAAGAAATACATGCATCTAGCTGAGTTTGCTTACAACAACAGCTATCAGGCCAGTATTGGAATGGCACCGTTTGAAGCTCTGTATGGTCGTCCTTGTAGGTCACCTGTGTGTTGGTTGGAACCAGATGATCGACTGAACACTGGACCGGAAGTCATTCAAGAGAATAATGAGAAGATAGCTGTGTACGTCAGATCGTGACACGCGTTTTAATGCAAGGTATTGGAAGAATTTCCAGGAAGCCATGGGAACAGACTTGAATTTCAGTACAGCATTCCATCCTCAGACTGATGGGCAATCTGAAAGGATAATTCAGATTCTAGAGGATATGCTTCGTGCTTGTATTCTGGAATTTGGTGAAAATTGAAAGAAATACCTGCATCTAGCTGAGTTTGCTTATAACAACATCTATCAGGCCAGTATTAGAATGGTACCGTTTGAAGCTCTGTATGGTCGTCATTGTAGGTCACCTATGTGTTGGTTGGAACCAGAGAATCGACTGAGCACTGGACCGGAAGTCATTCAAGAGAATAATGAGAAGATAGCTGTGATTCGGGAACGACTATTGACGGCTCAAAGTCGTCAGAAAAGCTATGCTGACAAAAGGCATAGGCCTTTAGAATTCCAAGAGGGTGACTTTATCTTGCTGAAGGTTTCCCCATGCAAGGGAGTTGTTCGGTTTGGTGTGAAAGGGAAACTTGCACCAAGGTATGTAGGACCATTCCCGATCGTGCAACGAATCAGAGTGGTGGCTTATCGGTTGACTTTACTGCCTGAACTATCTCACGTGCATGACGTGTTTCATGTCTCCATGCTTCAAAAATGTCAACCTGAGCCGGAAGCTGTAGTGCAGTGGTTTGACGTTCCGATACAGTATGACGCGTCATACGATGAGGCACCAGTTCAGATTCTTGACCAGAAAATAAAGAGTTTGCGTCATCGTGAGATTCCGTTAGTGAAAGTGTTGTGGCAGCACCATGGAATCGAGGAAGCGACATGGGAGCTTGAAACGATGATGCGGGAGCAGTATCCGCATCTGTTCACACTTTGAGGTAGGCTTTAATTTCGGGGACGAAATTGCCTAAGGGAGGTGGAGCTGTAACACCCTGAAGAATTAACTGAGATTAATTAAGGTCATTGAGATTATTAGTGTGCCTAATCTAGATTATTAATTGAGTATTAATTAATAAATATTTCTAACACGTGTGAGTTTAAATAGTTCCAAGGTATTTAAATTATTCTCAGTAATTTATTTTAACCCAGAAGTGTGTATGGGCGCATTTCTGGACTGCTCTTTTAAAATATTGACACTTGTCCATTTCCTTTCCTTTTCTTTTTCTTTTTCTTTTTCTTTCCTTCCTTCCATTTTCTTTTTCCTTTCCCGTGCATCTCTCTCTCTCCTTCTCTCACTCTCCCGTGCATCTCCTTCTCCCTCTCTCATTTTTGTCCCAAATCAAACGGATCTTAAACTAAGGAAAGATTTAAAGAAGTTTTCAATGTCGAGAGAAGGATTCGAGGTAAGATTACTGAAAGAACCTCTCTTGAATATCAAGTTTTTGAGTTTCAAAACTTATTTTTGGTTCAAACCGGATTTTGATGGTTTTTGAGTAAAACTAGAGTAGAAATTGGAGATCTTGGGTTCTTTGGACTTGTTTTAGGACCTAGAACCCAGATCTAGTGGTTTCCCTTTGAAATATCTCGATTTGGGACTGGATTTGCAGGTTTTTGGACTGGTTTCCGTGAGCTTCTCTCGTGCAGCTGATTCTTCTGGTCGACCTGTTCGGTCGACCGGGTCACATGGAA